GAAAAAGAAAAAAAAAAGCATAGTTGCTGAACCAGTGTGCTTTGTAATTAGCAGTGGATGTTTTCCAGCTAAGTAAAGTAAACGTTTGCTGTGTTAGCCAATTTTCAAAATACTGTACCGCATTCTTGAAAGTATTTCACTGTATTGCTGCTTATAAAATGCTAATTAACGGATGGAAAAAATAATCACATAGAAGTTTTTCTGTTAGAAGGGTAGAATCAGAGTGAGTAAAATAGTTGTTTTGCTTCCTTACAGAAATTCACATTTTTAAGACTTTCCTCCCTACATCTCTTTTTCTGTTCCTCAGACTCTGTGATCCACAGCCAACGGATATCATAGTTGATCCCATGTGTGGTACAGGTGCAATACCAATAGAGGTGATTCTTCCTTTATTTTTTAACTTACTAAAACTTGACAGTATCTGCAACTGAATAATACGTGTAAGTTTTCTTGGTAATAACTGAATAGCGAACTCCGAAAGTATCTCCCCAACTTTTAAACAGACACAAATACACTTTTTGTAAATGACCTCATTTTCCTTCCCAAAGCTGTAGCAGGAAGAAACTAATCCCAAAAGTATTTCGAACTTTTAAGGTGCATAATACCTATAACAGAGATCTGTTACAGAACTTTAAAATCATTGACATCCACTTCCAGTTGTTTTGTTGTATTCTGTCATATTTGAGTAATTCTTCTGTTTGTTTTGTTTTAAATGAGGTAATGTTGATGCTAATGTTGCTTATTATCAATATTTCCCCCCAGGGAGCTACAGAATGGCCTAGCTGCTACCATATTGCTGGTGATAACAACCCACAAGCTGTAAAGAGAGCAGCAAACAACATCTGTTCTTTACTAAAGAAAAATGAGAATAAGGAAAGGTAAGAAGAGTACGAGTGGTTTTCTTTTCCTGTAGTATCGTATGTAAAGAAATCCATTTTGCCTTGATGCATTTGACTCTCTTGTTCGTATTCTATTTATTCTTTTGCTAACATTATGGACCTCCTCAATTTAAAAATATTCTCAGTAAACCGTGTCTGAGATAAACATCTTTGCACTTGCAGCAGTACTTCCCTGGGCATACCCTTAGACATCGTTCAGTGGGATATTTGCAATCTCCCTTTGCGGACTGGTTCTGTGGACATCATTGTGTCAGACATGCCTTTTGGAAAGAGGTGAGGTATCACTGGTAAAGTTACTGCGCTTAACTGCCGCTGCTGCATGTGCTTGCCTGCCCAGGGTCAGGGTTCTCTCCAGTTACTTACTTAACTGGGCCTAATGAAGAAGTATTGATGTACTCTATATTAAAAATGCAGGTTGAAATTAATAGTAAATGTCCTGAATGAGCTAATCCATGTCTGAAAGACCAACAGCAGTTAACTATTTTTCAGTTATCACAAAGGGGATCTTAATTTCTTTTGCAGGATAGGGTCAAAGAAGAAGAACTGGGATCTCTATCCAGCCTGCCTTATGGAGATGGGCCGGATCTGCACACCGGGGACAGGCAGGGCTGTGCTGCTTACGCAGGACAAGAAATGCTTTGCCAAGGTATGTTCTGCGAGAGAAAACCGAACCTATTTACACTTGAAAATATATTGAGGAAAAAATTGTAAGCTGACTTCATTACAGAAGATGATATATTTTTAGAGCAGTAATTAGTAACATTTAAACGCAGTTTTGGACCTGAAGAGTCATTTGATGTTGCCATCAGATGTGATTTAGAATAATCAAAAATAATTTCTGAAGGAAATTTACCCTTACTGTCTTACCTTGAAGCCGCCACCGCTCTTTGTCTGTCGTTTTGCATTGTAGGCCTTGTCACGAATGGGACACATCTGGCGCAAAGGTCAGACTGTGTGGGTGAACGTAGGGGGACTTCATGCTGCGGTGTATCTTCTGAAACGCACCTGGGAAAGAGCAGAGGAAAAAAGATCATTCTGGTAACCTGCGTGGAAGAAGACAAGAGGCACCTCCAGAATTTGTTGGATAGCAGTCTGGTCAAGCGGACACCTGAGAGCATAGGTCTGTCAATTCCTAAGAAAAAAAAACAAACGACCTATGTAGAAATTGTGTAACACGAATATCCAGCCAGGGATCAACTTGAGAGCTACCAGTTGTGCTATGTGTTCTGAAACCTTGTTGTTTAACACCTCTTTCCTCCCTGCCACCCAAACTGAAATTCGGTAGCGCAATTAGTAATGCTTTCCTTTGCCTGAGTCTTCTCTACCACGTCCATTGTATTTTTCAGTTAAATGTTTATTTCCTCTGCTTATAGTAGAAAACATGTTGAGGCAGCCTTGGAGGCAACAGTTAGTTTATTTCCTGAGCTGTAGAAATCATACGTGTATCTTAAAATGACTAACATGACTACTAAGACTGTCATCTTGAAGGGTTTAGAGGTAGTATCTCTTTAATGTAGGACTTTTCCAAATTGAAGTTTTCTAATTTATACCATTGCCCAAACGTAAACTAAGACAATAAACCAGTATCTGTTTTTTATGGTCTGATAAGCAAATGCCAATTAGTAAACAGTACGCTGATGGCTACTGTTTTTCTTACCTGTTACCTCAACTTAGTGCTAGTTATCAGTAAACATCTAATCCGTATTTTAACGTACCACTGCCGTGAGTGAGGGAGGTAACACACACAGCCTTAGCAAACTGTCCGTAGTTACTGTTTGAGAACAGAGATAAGTTTAGCAATTATATTAAAAAATTCATGTTTTCAGTGTCTACTGTAGACACATCAAGGTGGCAATATGTTTAAATTTATTAGGTGATCTGACTGCTGTAGTTATGCCACAATATTTACAAAAATATATTACCTGTTGAATAACTTGAAGTTGCAAATATTTTTTCTTCTGTAAATGTACTGTGATTTCTCAAGCCTCTTACTCTTTGCTCATCAGAGGCTGAAAACACTAGTTACCGGTTTGCCATTTTCATTAAAGTGTATTCGTGCTAAGTATGTGTAAGTGTTGAGAGGTGAATTAACAAGTATTAAAGTTTCAGAAGTTTTGCATAGGAGGTAAGTCTTAATTGTATTCTTTTTCTGGTCCGTGTGCAGTAAAGGATAATGCAGCCCTTCATTTACTACACAGTTGTCTTTCTGGATAAAAGAGTGCCAACAGCTTCCATTTAATTCTTTCCCACACTGCATGGTTTATATGACAGCGTCAAGGTGATGCACGCAGTTGTCGCATGAGGTGGCTATCTAAGTACCCCTGCTCTAGTGAACTCTACAACTTAACCTGGATGTGTTGCATTCTTAAAATGCATTAACACCTTAGTGGTTTGTTACTGTTGATTTATTATTTTTTAAGGAAAGCTAAGCACAGTAACATTTTAAGACCTTACAGTGTGTATTTTGAAGTTTGGGGTTTTTTTTTTTCTTGAGTTAAAGATCAGAATGAGATTAGTAAAATGCCAGTCATCCCTTTTGGCCTGAAAGGTGATAGGGTCATGTTTTGTTTTTTAAACCACAACTAACATTAAATAGATTCAAATCAGGTTGATGTGACTTAGCAAACGAGGCTTTAACTAACATCAGGAGATGGGAACCAAAATTATTGACCGCTGCAAAGAATTTGTATTTGATCTTCAATACTCGTCACACTAAAATGTATGGCCTCACGTAGTTTTGTCATATTTCATAGGAAACCGTAAGTCTGAAATCACTAAAGAATGCAGGAACAGGAAGATGTACAGTGATACCTGTACATCTCTGCTTTCTTACAGATGTCAATCTGTGCTCAGAGTTGTACAATTTAAAGCAGTTTCTCTTAAAGATTGCACTTCTGTTTCTATGGAAGATTGGTACCAAACACTGAGGAATAACAGCATTTTTCAGTTAACGCAATTGGCCTCATTGTTTATACATGCTGTGTAATCCCACAATGCTGCACACAGTTTCTTACAGTACCGGTAAGTATCTGAAATACGTGCTCCTTCCATGATGTGAATCTACTGTTTCCCCCTCGCAGAAGGGAAGTGGGGGAAGTGACTTCTTTTGAACAAGAAGGGCCAGCAAGCAAGCCTCCCTGACAGTTCTTGCACGTCCAGCTGTGTAACTGACAGATGATGGCTTCTCGTGTCATGCTCTACCAATTTACATACTTCTCCCTCACAGAGGGAGGCTAGAGGGACAGTACAGAAATTATGAAAGGACCCCTCATCCAAGTCTCGTTGCAGAACGTTAAGTATTCTAAAAGAAAAAGCTGAAAGGTGTTGAGACACACGAGGAAAAGGCACTGTCTTGATACTTTCAGCACTGTAACCTGCAATGATTGTAGAGAAAAAAGTGTCCTGGTTTCAGCTGGGATAGTTAATTTCCTTCCTAGTAGCTGGTACAGTGCTGTGTTTTGCATTTAGGATGAGAACAAAGTTGGTAACACACCGATGTTTTAGTTGTTGCTAGGTAGTGCTTACACTAGTCAAGGACTTTTCAGCTCCCCATGCTTTACCAACTGAGCAGGCTGGAGGTGCACAAGAAGCTGGGAGGGGGCACAGCCAAACTGGCCAAAGGGACATTCCATACCATGTGACGTCATGCTCAGTACATAAACGGGGGAAAGCTGGCCGGGGGGGGCCGCTGCTCGGGGACTGGCTGGGCATCGGTGGGTGGTGAGCAATTGTACTGTGCATCACTTGCTTTGTGTATTACTATCATATTATCATCATCATTTTATTTCAATTATTAAACTGTTTTTATCTCAACCCACAAGTTTTTCTCACTTGTGCTCTTCCAATTCTCTCCCCCATCCCACCGGGTGGGGGGAGTGAGCGAGTGGCTGCGTGGTGCTTAGTTGCCGACTGAGGTTAAACCACAACAACATGCTAAACCACCTTCACGCACGAAGTGCTGCATTTTGAGGGGTATCTGTTGTCACATACTCGACAAAGCCGGACATCATCTGAGGAAGCCCACCGACCTTTCCAGAACGGCTGAAGGCCTTTGCGTGTAGAGCAGACTTAAACCCGTCAGTGCTTCAAGCCCGGTATTTGTTAAAATCCTTTTTGCAGAAAGCCTGCCAGAGCAGCTCCAGCCCCGGCGTCCCCCGCAGGACGGCTGGGCTCGCTGGCGAGGAACGTCCCTGTGGAAGCAAGATCATAGAATCATGGAATCATTGAGGTTGGAAAAGACCTCTAAGATC